GGCGCCCGGGCTCGGCGGCGCTGGCGGGGCGGGCCCCGGCTGTCCCCCCTGCGCGCCGCCCGGCGGTGGTACGGTCCGCTCGACTCGGGCCCGCAAGCGGCTACGGCTCCGTGCGCACGCGGGGCTGGGCAGGCGGGGCGGCTCGGGCGTCCGCTGCTGCTCCCGCCGCGGCGGCTGCTGCTCCTGCCGCTGCTCCGGCCCCTGCTGCTGCTGCCAGCTCCTCAGCCAGAGGGGAAAAGGAAAGGGCGGGGGGAGGGGGCAGGAGAGAGCGAGACGCTCAACGTGCGGGGCGGGCACGGGAAGGGGAGGGTGAGGGCGGTAGAAGTGCGCACGCGCGCCCAGAGAAGGGAAAGGGAATGGGAAGGGGAAGGGAGAGGAGGAGGGAGGGCAAAAAAAAAAAAAGAGGCGGTACCTGCCCACTTGGCACCGCCCTCACTTTTGAAAGAGCCGACGGGAGGGAGAGGGGGAAACTCAGGGCTAGGGGAGAGACGACCAATCAGGTGACAGCGCGAAATGCTTAGAGGACAATCCCCGCCCCGGAGGAGGTGGGGGCGGAGAGGTGGGACTATGCAAATGAGATGGCTCCCTCCCGCGTGCGCCTCAAGTCCCAGAGAGTGTCGAATTATCTGATTGGCTACACGTTTGGATTTGAGGGAGGAAATTCAATGAACTGGGGAAGTGGGAAACCCGGTAGGAAAAAAAAAAGGCTATTTTCCGCCTCCGCGAGCGCATGCGCAGGAGGGTGACTTGCACGTGTGAGCGCTAGTCGAGCTCTGTTTTATGAGGCTGGGCGGTGACGTTCGGAACCTTCCTTTGGCCCTGGTCCTTTACCACCTTTGGGAGGAGACTGAAGGGCACCCGATGGCTTCTGGGCTTAGTGTGGCTGCTTAAAATTGTTAACAGTGACTCGAATAAAAGTTATAAAGGGCACGTTTGTGCAGGATGGGTAGCAGGGGACAGCAGGAACAGGACCCAAAGAGGTCTGGACAGAGTTCCCTAGGAATCTAATAGGGTGATATAAAGATGATAAATTCGTTTGCTTGGCCTCAAATAATCGATCATCACAAGAACAGGATACAGGAAGCAGATTAGATAGCGTTGTGGCCGTCAGTCAAGCGTTTTATGGAACCCCAACCGAGGAGCGAAGTGCAGAATTTGCAGAAAGACAAGTTTAGGCTTGATGTCAAGAAAAGCTTCTTAATGAAGAAAACTACAAGAAAACAGAATGGACCCCGTCCTAAGGAAGAGATGGCTTTCCTCTCCTGGAAGGTCTTCTTAAAGCAGAGTCTAACAGACCACTTTCCCTCCGGTGTTTTCATGGGGGTGCCTTTTGGGTATATACTGAACCAGATAGCTACTGAAGTCCCTGCTAAAATTCATGGAGTCTGTGAAATTCATTATTCATTGGATTTCTGGTTAGTGCCTTGTATAGTGTATCCGTAGTCTCCGGAGATAGAATGTAAGCTCCTTGAGGGCAGGGATGGTTTCATTTTTTTGTTTTTTGTGTGCCCCCAGATTGTTGCATAGTGCCTTTGCACGTAGTAGGTGCTTAATAAATAGTGCTTGCTGATTGACCTGGAAAGAGCACTGGATTAGAAACGAGGAGTCTTGAGTTAAACGTTTATTAAGTGTTCTTTTGTGTTATACTGTGTGATATGCAATAAGAATACAAAAATGAACCGGTTCTTGCCCCCAGAGCTTACGCTGACATAGGCACACCTGGACCACTCACCAGCCTGTGCCCTTCAAAGCTTATATATAAGCAAGGTATATCTCACTCTTACCTCTGACCTTGGATAGCCCAGTTTATAGCAGGAAGCCGCATAGCCAGAATTTGAACTATAAGCTAGGTTTCCCCTGATCATAATATATACTTGAAATGTAAAATGTTATCTCCCTCAACCAGCTGATTCTAAACTCCAGGAGGATGGGGATTAAGTCTTTTTTAATTTTTCTATTCCTCCCCAATACAATGTGGGTATGTAATAAATGTTTGCCACAGAGGATGTTGGTCCGTTTTGGCATTTGGCCATGATTTGATTGGTTCTCGGTTACCAAAGAACTGAGCTACACCTTTTGGATCTATAAAGATCTACAAAGCTAAGATTTAGTCACTTAGCCTCTCCATAATGAACTACACATTCTTTAACTCAAATGAAATAACATCTATAAAGTGCTTTATAAACCTTAAAGCAATCTACAAATGCTAGCTATTGTTATTACTCAAAAGAAATTAGCTTAATACATTTTTTAACACAACAAATGTGTGGGTTTGTTTTACCTGACTATGCTTTTTAGTTATGAGGATGTGTTTTTCTTTTTTTTTATTATTTATGAGGATGGGGGAAATGAAGGGGAGAAAGGGTAGCTAACAATAGGCTTACCAAAAAAAGTCATTGTAGTTTTTTAACATACAGAAAAGAGTAAATTTAGAGGGAAATTGACAAGCAGAACCACTTTGAAAGTTATGCTGACTTTATTATACTTGTAAAAAGAATAAGAAAAGCAAGCTGAATCTAATAGAAATGTACATTTTCACATAATCCTTGGTTTCTGTTCTTTGTATATGAAAATGTTCCTTTGTCAGAATAAAAAATTAAAATTTGCAGAAAAAATTACAAAAGAGAGCTCGATCTAACAGTTCAAATAGGAAGAACCAATGCACGAATAATGCCTATTTTCAAAATGTGAGTGCAGTGAGATGGCAAAGACAATGAAATAAATATGTACAGACATTGCAGAGGGACATTGAGCTGGTTTGAGAATTGGCTAGGATGAAGGGATGGAGTGGGATGTGAAATTGAGCATTGCTTCCAACATTTGCTTTCAAGATGCTTCCTGGCACAAAGACCCATCTATTCTCAACTTCCTTCCACCATATTTCCAATGATGACCACATATAAGACATTCCTATAAGGGATATTTTACGTCTTACACTGAGGTAATAAATGTGTATCGTCAGCAAAGGGAGTGGGCCCATCACATTAAGGGAAATGAGGGATAGATATCACATTGGTAATCGAGTACCATGTTGGTAGCCACAAAACATAGCAAGACCTAGAGGAAAGAAGGCCTCCAGAAGTTGTTATAAATCATCTATGGAAAGATCTATGAAAGAACTTGGACAGAAATCACACTCAGAAGTTAAGGGTGGCTGATGATTCTCATCCCTGCCCTCAAGTTTATATTCTCCATTTTTTTTTCCAGTATACACCTATGAGGCCAAATCACCATCTCCTCCCAACCATTTATCATATCCAGTAACCCTGGGTGTGTCCCAAAATGCCCCAGGTCACTTCCCTCTGTGACACAATCATACCTCCCCGTGATGTTATAAAGTCACCCAGGCCTCCATCCTCCTAACATCTGAATTATCTTTAATCAGAGAGTTGACAGCCTTATTTGAAATAGCAGATAAAAAAGATAAATGAAAGTTGGTCCCGCCCCTTCATCAAGAGCTTAAAAGCCCAGAAGGAAAAATAAAAGACTGCACAAATAAGTACATTAAAGTGTTTTTCTCCCAGTCTTCTGTTCCCATCATCAGTGTAATGGGGGTGATTCAATCATTAGATTCATTCAACAATTCATCTATTAAGTGCCTACTATGTGCTAAGTGCTAGAGATACTGAGCCCCAAACAGTCTTTGACTTCAAGTAACTTACATTCTATTGGGGGAAAGAACAAGAATATAAGTGTATGCAAAAGATATAAAGTAAATACAAAGTCATTTAGGGGGAGGAAACTGGAGGGCTCCTGGAGAAGGTGGCGTTCATCTCTCGGGCATTTTCAGTCTCTCCCTTTGCCTGGTTCCTATCTGCCTCCAAGCTCTGGTATCCCATTCCTTATTTAACCCTGTTCTTCCTTGTCTAGCCAATGTCCTATCTCCCTCCTTCCTTTTAAAGGAAGAAAGGACTTAGTCACACACTGGATCCAAAGGATGATGAGGAGAGGAACGAATTGAAACATCCTTGGGGTCTGAAGAACAGTCAGAAATGTGGGATAATTAAGAACATGTTTAATTGGGGCTGGTGTTTATTGGGTGCTTTCAGGTCTGCAAAGTAGTTGACACCATCACTTCATTTGATAATCAGAATAACCTTGTATTTGTGGGTGTTCCCATTTATTTCCATTTTACAGATAAGGAAACCAAGTTCAGGGAGATTAACAGACTGACTCATGGTAAAGTATCAGAGGCAGGTTTCAAACCTTCCTGATTCCAGATGCAGTCCTCTTACTACTTACTATTCTGCTTGTGCAATTGGAGATACTGGGCAGCTGGAAATCTGCAACTATAATAATAGTTAGCATTTACATAGCACCTTAAGGTTACAAAGCACTTTACAAATATTGTCTCATTTTGTCCTCACAACAGCCTTGGTAGGTAGGTACTATTATTATCCCCATCTTACAGATGAAAAACTGAGGCAAATAGAGGTTAAATGCTTTGTTCAGGGTTATATAGCTAAGAAAGGGCTGAGGTAGGTTTGAACTAAGGTCTTCCTAACTTCCCAATTTCCTGGCAGCTATCTATCTGTTTGACTCCACACCTATAGAACAGGGGGGAAAATCAGGGATTGGGGATATGAATTTGGAAGTCATCTGAATGCATGTTGAAGATGGTGAGGGGAGAACATGCAGTAACAAAAGAGTATCTTTTGAAAACTCTGGGGCTGTCTGTGTGTTGAGTTGAATTATTTTGATCTTTGAAGTAATTTTAAAAATTTCGCCTATATAGTTCATTCTATTCCTTTCCCCACTGGGATTGAGGGGAAGGAGAGGTAGTTAGGTAAGTGATTAGAAAATAAAGTAGGTAGGATACACAAGTCATAAAGAGGCTCTCCAATGGGTTGAGAATTCGTTGAGGACCAAAAGGATTGCACCAATGGGGGCAGCTAGATGGTGAAGTGGATAGAGCACTGGCCCTGGAGTCAGGAGGACCTGAGTTCAAATCCGACTTCAGACCAAACACTTGACACTTAATAGCTGTGTGACCCTGGGCAAGTCACTTAACCCCAAATGCCTTAAAAAAAAAAAAATCCGGCCTCAGACACTTGAACCTTACTAGCTGTGTGAATCTGGGCAAGTCACTTAACCCCATTGCCTAGCCAAGAAAAAAAAAATGCTACATGGTGACTGGGGGTGCAGCAGAGGACACTTGTAGATGGGTGGACCAGTCAAGTCTACCTGCAGAAGGGGGTGCTTGATCTTAGTCTTCAAGGGAGGGAGGAGTTCAGAGGCAAAGAAGGGAGCCGAATTCCAGGAAATAGGGATAGACTGAGGAAAGGCTGGGAGAGGGGAAATAAAAGAGCAGATACTGAGGAGAAAGGCTGGAGGAAAAAAAAGGAATAAGCATTTTATTTAGTGCCTATAATGTACCAGGCACTTCATTTACTCCTCACAACAATACTGGGAGGTAGGTACTATTATTATCCTCATTTTACAGTTGAAGAAACTGAGGCAAACAGAAGTTAAGTGAC